CCCCCTGGTGGACTGAGCTGGCCACACACACAAAGAAAGAAAGAAAGAAAGAAAGAAAGAAAGAAAGAAAGAAAGAAAGAAAGAAACTATTAGACATAGAGGTAAGTGAGGCATACAGAACTCCAATTATACATGATAAAAAAATCTAAATCAAGTCACATAACACTCAAGATTCCAAAAATCATGCATGATAATAGAATATTAAAGGTATTAGAAAAAAGAAGCAAATCACATATAAAGGAAAACTAATCAGAACCACAGCAGACTTTACAACACAAACCTTTAAGTCAAGAAGAATTCAGAATGAAGTATTTTAATCCCTAAAAGAAAAGAAGCTGCAGCCCAGATGGATGTCCAATGCAAAACTATCTTTCAAAATCAATGGAGAAATAAGATACTCGAATGAAAAGAACAACTGAAGAAAATCATGACCCCCAAACCAGCTGTCCAGAATGTTCTGAGAGATATTTTAGAAAGACATAAGATTACAATTCCAAGAAAACCAACATAAAGAAGCTATCAGGCATTGTAAGCAATTAAATAGAAGGGAAAGCCAGAAATACAAAAACAAAAGGAAAATAATATGACAAGATTAAATTAATACATATCATTTGTAACCATCAACATAAATGGTCTCAATTCACCAATCAAAAGAAATAGACTAGCAGAATGAATCAAAAGGCCAGATCCAACAATATGCTGTATACTTGAAACACATTTAACTCAAAAAGAAATTCATGGATTAAAGTCAAAGGATGAAAAACAATATTTCATGCAACAGGAAACCAGAGAAAAGCAGGGGTATCCATTCTATTTGCAGACAAAATGAACTTCACATCAAGACTGAGCAAGAGAGACAAAAAAGTTACTGCCTACTTGTTAAGGAAAAATGCCAAGAAGAAAGGATAACAAGCATAAAATATATATGCACCAAATACCACCACACCCAAATATACAAAACAAATATTAACAGACATGAAAAATTAAACAGACACTAATACAATTGTAATGAAGGAACTCAATGTCACACTGCCATAGACAGATTTAGAGGGCAAAAAGTCAACAAAGAAAGTATCTCTTGGACTGAACAAAACCTGTGAATAAAATGGAGAATTTAGTAGATGTCTACAGAGTCTTATGTCCAACAATATCAGGATACACATTCTTCTCACCTGTGCATGGGATGTTCTCCAAAACAGACCACATACTAGCTCATGCTGAAGCAAATGCAAAAGAATTGAAATTATCCATGTATATTATGAAACCATAGTGCAATGAAATTGAAAGTCAATGCCAAAAGAAAACACAAAAAGTACATAAACACCTGGAAACTAAATAAAACCCTTCCAAAAAATGAATGGATCACAGATGAAATTAAGCCTTTTTTTTTTTTTTTTTTTCAGAACCAGGGATTAAACTCAGGCCCTTGTGCTTGCCAGACAAGCACTTATTCTACTGAGCCATCTCCCCGGCCCCCAAAGATGAAATTAAGGAAGAAATTAGATCATCTCTACATTTAAACAATAATACCAATATAATATAGCCCTCTCAGTGCTGAGATTATAGACCTCTACCACCATGCCCAGCTGTCACCTTACTTTTGACAAAGAAGCTAAACACTTTCACTGGAAGGAAGACAGCCTCTTTTAGAAATGGTCCTTAGAAAATTTAATATATTGGCATTATTGAAAGAAGAAATGAAAGAAGTCAAGTGTATAATTTATAAATTTAAGGAAATTTATAGCTGTGAATTGCCATATCAGAAAAAAAGAAAGTTCAACTAATACCTATTAAAGAACATCAAGTATCTAGGAAAAAGAAAAAGAATTCAAATCCAAAGCTAACACATGGAGGAAAAATAAAAAGATCAGAGGAGAAAGAAATGCAATGAAGACAAAAAAAAAAAAAAAAGAAAGAAAGAAAAAATTAATGAACCATAAAATTGTTTCTTTGAAAGATTAAATAAAACTCTTCCCATTCTTACCCAACCTTATCAAAGAAAGAAAGAAAAGACTCAAATCCATGCAATTAGGAATGAAATATGTGAAATCACAATAGATCCTGCAGAAATCCAGATGATCATCAATACTTAGTTCAAGAAGAATTACTTACAATGCCTGATAGATTCTTTCTATTGGATTTCTTGGAATTGTAATCTTTGCTATGTCTTTCTAAAATGTCCTTTAGAACATTTTGGAGAGCTGGTTTGGGGGTCATGATTTTCTTCAATTGTTCTTTTCATTTAAGAATTCTAATACAATGGAAAACAGAGGAAAAATGGACAGATTCCTAGACACATATGAATTTACAAAGATGAATCAAGAAATAAACCAGTATCAATGAGTGAAACTGAAGCTATAACTAAAACTCTACCAACAAAGAAAAACTCAGGAGTTCCGGCGAGGAGGCCGCCCCAGTGACAGCGATGGCGGTGGAGTCGGCGCTCCAGGTGGTGGAGAAGCTGCAGGCGCGCCTGGCCGCGAACCCGGACCCCAAGAAGCTATTGAAATATTTGAAGAAATTTTCCACCCTACCTATTACAGTAGACAGGGGTTGGGAAGACGGTGAATAGCTTTTGAAAGCATGAGCAAGTTGGGGACTTCACCAGGGGCCTTGTGGCCCAGTGGAAGAAGCTGGTGCCTGTTGAACAAAACAATGAGGCTGAGGAACAGGACTTTGAGAAGAGTAATTCAAGAAAGCGCCCTCGGGAAGCTCTTCAGAGAGAGGAAGAGATCGAAGGGGACTACCAGGAAAACTGGAAAGCTTCCGGCAGCTGGTCCTATAGCCCTGAGCACAGACAGAAAAAACACAAAAAGCTCTTGGAGCTGGAAAGACCTCACAAAGTGTCTCACAGTCATGAGAGGAGAGAGGAGAGGAAGAGGTATCTCAGAATGTCACCTGCATACTCTTCAGACCCCAAGTCTTCTGACTACGGCCATGTCCAGTCCCCTCCGTCCGCTGGCAGTCCTCATCAGATGTACATGGACAATTACAGGTCCCCAGAGGAGGAGCATGAGCCCACTGTTCCACATCAGAAACCCAGAAAAGGCCACAGTAATGCCTTTCACGATAGACTAGGGGTCAGCCATGAGCAACACCTGGGTGAAACCCATGGGAAAGGGACCCTGAATCCAAGCAAGGAGCACAAATCTTCCCACAAGGAGAAACGCTTCGGGGAAGCCAAGAGCGATGAAAAGTCCTCTTTGGGCAGAGAGAAACCACATAAGTCTCTCTCCAGAGAGGAGAACCAAAGGCCACTGTCAGGGGACAGTGTCAAGGAGAAACTGCCCTCCAGTGCCACCAAGAAAGAGAAGGAAAGAGAAGGTAGCAGCCTCAAAAAGAAGTGTTTGCCCTCTGTGGAGGTTGTCTCAGACAACCACCTTAAAAAATCAAAGCACAAGGACTCTGAGAAAACCAAGTCAGACAAAAGCAAGCAAAGTGCGGATGGCTTAGACGTGGGGAAAGGGGTGGGAGACTCTTCCAAAATAAGAGAGAAGGTTTCTAACAACCTCAAGACTCAAGAAGGGAAAGTAAAAACCTCCAATTCAGAGAGGAAGTCACTGAGCTCGCTCCCTAAAGTGGAGGAGACCGACGTGGATGATGAATTTGAGCAGCCCACCATGTCGTTTGAGTCGTACCTCAGCTATGACCAGCCCTACAAGAAAAAGAAAAAGGTGGTAAAAACTTCAACCACAGCACCTGGGGAAAAAGGACTTTAAAAAAGTGGTTCCAAAAGCACTAGTAAAAACTTGGACTCAGTTCAAAAATTGCCCAAAGTGAATGAAAACAAATCTGAGACGCCACAGCCAACTGGAATGGATTCAGCCAGGCTGAGAAAGGTCCCCCCCCACCCCCGAAGCACTGCCAGTGTTGCCAGACCTCCCGTTGTCTACAATCCAGGCCAATTACCGCCCACTTCCTTCCCTTGAGTTCATGTCATCCTCCCTTGAGTTCATGTCATCCTCCCAGCCAAAGCGAAAAGCATTTTCTTCGCTCCAGGAAGAAGAAGCAGCCGGGTTCACGGGGCGCAGGATGAACTCTATGATGCAGGTGTACTCTGGTTCCAAGTGTGCCTATCTCCCCAAAATGATGACCCTGCACCAGCAGTGCATCCGTGTGCTCAAGAACAACATCAATTCCATCTATGAAGTGGGAGGAGTCCCCTATTCTGTTCTTGAACCCGTTCTGGAGAGGTGTACACCAGAGCAGTTGTACCGCATAGAGGAATACAATCATGTTTTAATTGAAGAAACAGATCAATTATGGAAAGTTCATTGTCACTGAGACTTTAAGGAAGAAAGACCCGAAGAATATGAGTCCTGGAGGGAGATGTAGCTGCGGCTTCAGGATGCCCGAGAGCAGTGGCTACGAGTTCTGACAAAGAATATCTGATCTGCACATGCCAACAAGCCCAAAGGCCGGCAAGCAAAGATGGCCTTTGTCAACTCTGTGGCCAAGCCACCTCGCGATGTTCGGCGGAGGCAGGAGAAGTTTGGAACTGGAGGAGTCACTGTCCATGAGAAAGTCAAGATTAAGCCGGCCCCATACACCACAGGAAGCAGCCACGTTCCTGCCAGCAGCAACAGCTTTAACTCCAGCCCGGAGGAGCCGGCCTACGATGGCCCCAGCACCAGCAGCGCCCACTTGGCGCCAGTGGTCAACAGTACTGTCTGCTATGATCCTAGGAAACCAGCAGTGAAGAAAGTTGCCCCGATGATGGCCAAGACGATTAAAGCTTTCAAGAATAGATTCTCCAGGCAATAAACGGGAAGACCTGCCTTGCAGGTGGAATTTGGGAGACAGGAATACAGGGACATTGGGGCTGCGGAGTGAGCCTTCCAGAGGAGACCGGAGTCTTTTGCTTTGTGCCAGCTTTTGGCCTCTGCAGCCTGCACGTGTGCTGGTGTCGGCCCTGTGTGCCGCAGTCTCATACCCTGCCTGGAGCACACTGCAGGGTTCTGAAGACGATGTGAAACCTCAGGCTCACTGAGGATTTTAAGGTTAATTATACTTTTGTTGCTAATTAGAACCTTTGTAAACTATTATGTCATAGTTTTAATAAATATTGTCCCCAGATTGTATTTCTATCACCCACAGGGTTTTGCAGGGGGTTTTCATTTTGTCCTTCACCACACATTCAGCCTTTTCTTTTGCAGGTCCTTTATTAAAGTTAGATGAAAGCTGTTCCCTGTCCCAGGTTGCTCTGCAGAGCAGACTGTCAAGAGGGAGGACTGGGCAGCCCTGCAATCTGTGTGGTGCTTGCTGTGTGTCGGGCCAGGAGTGGGTATCAGGCTCATCCTTAGGGGGGCCTGGCATGGGGACAGCAGTGTTGCGGGCTCCTGGCCCTCCGCCCCTCCTCAGTGTTGCTCCAAGTTCTACACAGGTGCCTCTTTCTACCCACTCAGTTGTATTTATTAAGGGAGGCTCTTAGCAAAGCCTAGAGTCCTACCATCTTTGTAAGTCTGTCTTGCTCACTCTTTCTCACTCTCTTTCCTTTCTTTTTTGATCCTGGGGATGGAATTCAGAACCTTGCACTTGCCAGGCAGGTGCTTAAGCTGCTGAGTTGTCTCTCAGTCTCTGTTTCTTTATTCTAAATAAGGCTCACTAGAGGACACAGAACCTTGAGAGATTAATTTGCATAAAATCAGCAATTTCATAATTTCCAGTTTCTGATTCAAATTTTGAGTGATCCTCCCCCAACTCCGTGCACCCCAGCCCAGGAAGAAAATGAAACCACCACAAACATGGCAGGGCCTTTCACACAGCCTTCAACATGGCTTTGGAGTTTTAAAAGCCAGCACTTTAATCTTGATCCTGGTGAGTTGCCATTAGGAGTGAGTGTTTTTTAAGCTTGCAGTGCTTTGTTGGAAATTGCTTTTGTTTTTGCTCCTCTTTTGAAGGCTGGGATGGTGTGACCAGAGTGCAGCGGTGTACTGTGCAGCAGAGAGCTCCGCAGCGCAGGCCTTCTGTCTTTAGTGCCTATGCCAGGGCTGGAGGAAGGAGCCACGTAGGAACCTGAGCCACAGGGGCACCCATCGAGTCTAGGAGGGGAGGCTCTTAGCTTTCAGCTTGGCATAGAGGCAAGATCAGAAGTAGGAGGGCAGTGTCTACTCATTCCTGGCTGGCAAAGAACATGGGCCAGTAGGAACCGTGTGGTGGTGACGCAGGCGGACACGCCAGGAACTTGAGAAGTACAACCATAGAAACCTACAGACAATTAGAGGGCATAGGTGGCCAGATGATGGGCAGCTGGCCAAGCTCAGCCAGGGAGCCCTCCTCAAGCTCCCTGAAGGCCTAGACTTTGGAGCCCACCATTCCCATAGCCCTAGAGACCTCAGCTAGGCTGACCTGGAAGATTCCAGGGCACCGCAGGCTCTGCATTCCTTGGTGTGTGTTGCTGTGCCAGGTGCCTGCTGCAGTGGGACACAAGTATTGCCGGGTTTTAATTTGATGTATCTGAATTGGGTAAAGCATTCTTCCTCTTGCTATGGCTTGTTTTACCCCTATCCTGTATAGCCCAGTCCCCAGATCTAATATTAGCCTCTTATCTGAAACTAAATTAACAGATGGATCAGGTGCCAGGCATCTACTGTCTGGAATAGCTTCCTCTAGGTGTCTGTCACCTTGAACTTGTCTCCCAACTATGTCTCTCATTCTTTGCTACTGAACCAGTTTTTCCCATTTCAAGTTCAGTTGTGTATGATTCAGACCCCTTTAGTAGGGGTCTTTAAGTGGGAAAGGAAGGACACAAATCTGTCCATTCCAACGTCAGTACCCTTTTTGGGTACATACAGATTTCTATGAACTCCTCTGGCAAAGTGCCAGCTCTTCCTGTCTCCCTCTGAATGTCTGTGCCAGGGGTGTGGCCTGGAGAGCCAGCAGCTTCGGGCTGAGCGAAGCGGCTGCAGGGCAGGTGCAGGTGCAGACGATGTGGAACCTTTGGTCTCCGTGTGAAGCCTCGTGCAATCTTTCTCTGTGCTACACTACACATGAATCACCAAATTCCAGACGAACCCCTTGTGATCCTCAGTGTGATGAGCAGGTTCTTTGGGGCTTTTCTTTCTTTGAGGTGGGAGGGGAAGGAGCAAGTGGTTGCCCTGCTCTTCATTTGTATTTTGGTCCCAAAATGTAAATACAATTTTTTATGTTACTTTTTTGTGGTAACTACCAAGATGAATATTTTAATTAAATAAGTTATACAAAACAAGAATCCCATTTCTAAATAAAAAAAAACTTAAAAAAAAAACAAAGAAAAACTCAGTTCTTGACAGAGTTACTGTCCAATACAAGAAATTCAGAGATTTAATGTCACTATTCCTCAAATTCTTTTATAAAATTGAAAAAGAAATGATACTCATGGTCATTCATGGAAGCAAGCATTACCCTGATACCAAAACCAGAGAAGGATTCAACCAAAAAGATTCAGTCAATCTCCCTATTGAGCACAGATGCAAAAATCCTCAATAAGAATCATTTACTGAATTCTGTTCATCAGTCTAAGAAGATTATTCACCATGACAAAGTACAAATCATTCCAGGGATGCAAACATATGCAAATCAGTAAGTATGACACACCACAATCATATGATCATTTCAATAGATGCAGAAAAAGTATTTGACAAAGTCCAACACCCCATGGAAAATTGGAAAAGATGGTCTTTATCTCAATCTGATAAAAGCCTTCTATTACAAACCAACGGCCATACTGTATGACCATAGTATATGTTCAAAACTGAAAGCTTTTACTCAATTCAGAAATAAGACAAGGATATCCACTCACACCACTCAGTATAGTTCTAGAAAATTTAGCCAGAGCAATTAGACAAAAGAAAAAAAAATAAGAGGAATGAGGATAGAAAGGAAAGTGTTAAATTATCATTATTTGCAGATGACATGATACTCTACATAGGAGACCCCAAAACCCACCAAGACTCTGGATTTAATAACCAGGTTCAGTTTCATAGTTGGATACAAAGTTAACACTCAAAAATCAATAACATTTCTACACACAAAAAACTCAATGAGATAGAAATTAAGGAAACCAAAACTTTCACATTATGATTGAAAAAAATTAAATACTTTGGAATCAATCTAACAAAGGAAGTAAAAGATCTTTACAGTGAAAACTATAGGTCTCAAAAAGGGGATAGAAGAGGATATTAATAAATAGAAAGATATTCCTTGCTCTTGGGTAGGAAGAATCAACATAGAACAATGGCCATATTCCCAAAATTGTCATACAAAGTTATTGCATTCTGGATCAAAATACCCACTACATAACTACAGAAAACAATACTAACATTCATTTGGCCAAAAGAGACCTAGAATAGCAAAAGCAATACTGGGCAACAAAGGCAAGGCAGGTGTCACCACATTCCCTAATTTGAAATTATGCTACAAAGCTAGCTACTATGATAAAAACAGCATGGTACTGGCAAAAAAAGAAAAAAGAAAAAAAAAGAAAAAGAAAAAAAAGAAAGAAAAGATATGAGGATCAATGAAACACATTAGAAAATGTAGAAACAACTCCAAACACTCAGCCACCTTATCTGTTTCTTTGATGTTTATTTGTTTGTTTGTTTTTTGAGACAGTGTCTCACTATATAACTCAGGCTGGCCTTGAACTCACAGTGTAGTCCAGGATGCACTTGAACTCATGACAATCCTCCTGCCTCAGCCTTCTCAGTGCTGAGATTACAGACCTGCACCACCATGCCCAGGTGCCACCTTATCTTTAACAAAGGAGCTAAACACTTTCACCAGAAGCAAGATAGCCTCTTTAAGAAATGGTTCTGGGTAAAGTGGCTTTCTACATGCTTCTTGTGGTTTGGGGTTTTTGCAAGGTCAACAATATAGTAAGGACACATTTTAAAATAGTGTTTTATAGTGAATCACCCAAGAAGCACACACAAGTGCAGGAAATCTATCTATATGCTAAATACTAAAGAATCCAGCTGAAGGCCTAGATCCTAATAGCCTGTAAAAATCCAGCTAGAAACCTATAGCTCATAACAATGCCTCCCACAAGTCCAACTTGAAGTCTAGAGCCTACAATGAAGTCTCATACAGGCCCCTTCACAGATCTGTGCTGGAAAGGCCCAAAGGTCAGTGGTGGAATCTAGGAAGTCTGCGCCAGTGGAATGAAGGATCTGTGTCAGCAAGCTGAAGGATCTGAGCTAGAGTTAGAAATCAACACTCAAGGTAAGCACAGAGCTCCCCCATAAGTACTACAGCCATCCTCAGCAGCAGTGAGATCACAAGCCCCTCCAGCAATGAAGAAAGCTGATCTCCCATCAGGAAAGCCAATGCGACAAGCTTCATGAGGCTGAGCAATGCGCCATCTTCCCCTCTGAAGCCAGGAATCGATGCTCAAGATGAGGACCAGAGCTTCTCCAAAGTTCATCAGAAAAGCCAGCATGACAAGGTCCTCCAGGAGAACAGCCCAAGAGAACTGGCAGCTTCCAAAAGGTCTGACAGCTTCTTTCAACAGCATCCCTAACAGTGTTTCAGCAGCTTCTCCTGTTCTGCCTTTATGCTGCTGGCAGCAATGGTCAGGTGGACCTCTGGCACCTAGCTCCATGCTAGTTTAATTCATCAGAGTGTAATAAGTTGACCACCAGTTAGAAATCCACTACAATGCTGAAGATTAAAACTACACCCATATCTCTCACCATGCTCTAAATTCCAATCAAATAGGCTAAGTATATAAATATTAAGATAGAAACACTAAATCTGCTAGAAGAGAAAAATAGATAAAACTCTTGATAACATAGGTGTAGGTCAAGTGTTATGAACAAAACCCTGACCACATGGCAAATATTACAAGTCAACAACTGACATCTCATCCTATTAAAAAGCTCTTGTACAGCAAAAGAAATCATAGAGTGAAGGGACAACTCACAGTGAGAAAAAAGCTTTTGTCAACTGTCTTTCAGACAAAGGATTAATATTTAGGACCTATAAATAACTTGAAAATAATCATATTCCCCCAAATTTATAGATGCAGTCCAAAAATAGGCATTTAAAATAAATACAAACTTCTCAGATGAAGAAGTAGAAATGGCAAATAAATATATGGGAAAATGTACATCATTGGTCATTCAACACGTAGGGATTTATTGGTCTCTCGGTGATCCCTGGAAGAAAATGGTGAGAGGATTTACAAAATTAAGACAAGAGACTGGCTACTCTGAAAAGCCATCTTTGCATTGTTCCCGGACCGTCTCCCTGCTCGCTGCAGCCACCTCCGCCGCGCACCTCCGCCGCGGTCTCCAGCAGCTGTCTCACCAGAGTCCTCGAACTCTCACTTTATTTTTCACCCGCTGCACCGAACCACCAGTGTGCCCAACCATGTCAGATGCGGCCATGAACACCAGGTCCAAGATCACCACCAAGGACTTGAAGGAAAAGAAGGAGGTCGTACAGGAGGCAGAGAATGGCCGAGATGTCCCCAGAACGGGAACACTAACGCAGAGAGTGGAAAGCAGGAGGTGACAATGAGGTAGAGGAGAGGCGGAAGGCAGGGAGGAGGAGAAGAAGGGGCAGGGGAAGG